CCCCCGCCCCCGCCTCCCCGGGGAGCGGCCACCTGCCCCGGCCACCTCCTCCCCGCCCCGTCTTCCCCCTGCCGGGGGAGCAGCACCTGCACCTGGGGGTGGGAGGACGCTGGACCCGGGGCCACCTCCCTCTCCTGCGGGTGAACGTCACCCGGCCGCCCAGCCAGCTCCGCAGGAGGGGTCACCTGGACCCCGGGCAGCCACCCTCCTGCCCTCCCTCGGGATGGATCTGCGACGTCCCTGGTCCCCTCCCAGCTCCTGCCCGCTCCTCGTGCTAACGGCTGGGTTTCCGTGCAGGCCGGGGAAGCCGGTGGACACTTGAGACTTCAGCCCTGCGCGAGCCTCCCTGCCCTGGGCCTTCCTGAAATCCGTGTAGCGACTCACACGCCATTGGACCACACGCTTTTTGTGTCCCAAAGGCTGGACCTTTGGAGATGGGGATTCTTTTTCCAGATTTAAAAATATATATATTTTGTTGGTCCGTGTTTGCAGTGCATAATGTTTCCATGCCTCGTGAGGGGTCGGCACATGGACATAACACATCTTAATTCCTTTTACGTTCCCGTCCCTTCTCCCTCTCCCCGCTCTCTCTCTTGGTCTCCTTCCCTTTTGCCAAAGTTCGTTCTCCCTGCTGGAGATGGAGATATAAATAGAGCTCAGCCGGTACCTGCCTTCCCGCACCTACACCCCGCGGGCCCAGCGGAGGGCACAGTCCGGTAACTTTGGGACTGATGCTGGAGGAGAAGAAATAAAAGATGGGAAGAAGAAGCCTAGGAAATAACTGAAAGCTGTGCTTGGACGAAGGATGCAGCTGAGCCTGGCGCGGTGGCTCACGCATGTGATCCTGGTGCTAAGGCTGAGGCAGGAGGGGCGCTGAGAGTTGGAGGTCAGCCTGAGCTACACAGTGAGTTCAAGGCCAACCTGAACTACATAGTGAGAATTTCTCTCAAAAAAAGAAAGGCCGGGGATGTAGCCCGGCAGCACAACGCCTGCCCGGCAAGTGCAAGGCCCTGAGTTCGATTCCCAGTGAGAGAGAGCAAGCCAGAAAAAGAGAAGGGGAGGGAGAGAGGGGGAGAGGGAGAGAGAGAGAAGAGGGAGAGGAAGGGAAAGGAGGAGGGTGGTGGAGGGGGGAAGGAGGAAGACGAGGGAGGGAAAGAGTTGAAAAAGTAAAGGGGAGGAACCTGATCCAAAGATAGAGAATTCAGAGAACACTTCAATTATTCATCTTTTTTAAAAAAGCATTTTATCTTTAAAAAAATTAATAAAATATAAATAAATAATCTAGACCACAAAAAAAAAAAGCCTGGGCCCAACCTGTGAAGGGGCTCAGCTCTCTTCTGGGGACGGGGTCACCTTTTCCCAGGTCTCTGCCTCGCAGGAGAAGCATAAATGTTCGCAGTTCCCGGACATACGTGGCTCTCCCCTGCAGTATCTCGAGTGTATACCTTTTAGTTTCTGCCAAGAAAACCTTAATTGTGCCTCTTGCTGAGCGTTCTGCGAGGGCATCAGCGAACCTGCAAACGTATTCCACAAAAAGGGTGGGTTAGGTTGCTGTTCTCAGCTCTCTGAACCTCTTGGGACCTTGTCATGGTCATGTTACGGGATTCTGGGGTTCTGTAGCCTCTGTCCAGGTTTGTGGTGTCCTGAAGAGAGAATTGGACAAGACAGGTGAAGAGGTAGGGCAGTTCTGCGTTTATAGAAGGTAGGAAATTATGTACACTCTGCAAAGTGAGAAGCAGCCCTTGAGACAAAGGGATCGCAGTGGCCAAGGAGATAGATGACTGGTCTTTTGGAGCCTTCATCTTCCAGACTGACGTCAGAACTAGGCCGACCAATCAAAAACCTGTGAGATTTTGCACCAGAAAAAATTGAAGATAGCACTTCCTGATGGGTCCCAGGTTGAAGACCTGGAGACTGTTCTGGCCTATGATCTCCTGATTGACGGGTCACGCCCCCTTGCCCCAATCTCCAGCCTCAGTCCCATCGCAAACACCCTCAGCACTGCTCAGGACTCCTTCTTCCTGGGCAGCTTCCTCTCCCAAGTGTCCAGCACTCCCCCTGGCCACCCATTGTGCCAAGTCAC